TCGGCCCCGGGAGGCAGCCGGGGGCATCCCCGCCCGTGGTTCCCGGGAGGAGCACGGAGGGTTTCCCGCTGTGTTCTCACCCTAAGGGAACTACAGGCACTTGGCCGTGCCCGTTCCCCACAGCCAGGGACGGGTTCTGAGCTCGGGGGCTGCGCTCAGCCCGTGCCCGGGGTGAAGCACCAGGCAGGGACCGCTGCGGGCGGGAGGATCTTGCGGGATCCCAGCTCCGACTCTGTCCTCCTGCCTCCTCCCTCACCTTCACCGCTCCAGTGCCTACCTGGAAGTCACTGGCAGTGCCCTGCCATCCCCTGTCCAAGCCAGGACCACCTCCCACCCCTCCTCCAGCACATGCAACCGCCCCCAGTCCGCACAGCTCCTTCCAGCAGCTCCACATCCAATATTAAATCACTCCGTTCCTTCCAGGCACTTCAGGCAGCGCTTAGGGCACAGATTAAAGCTCTCGGATAAAGATAACGACAAACAACTCTTCGAGACAGGGACTGCTCACCTGCTGCAGGACAGACTGCTAGAGAAATGCCTGTGAGGAATAAGCTTTGGAATGACAAGGGCCAGGGGCAGGAGCCTCAGCCCCTCTCCCAAAGCACATACCCAAAGCGAGGGGCTGTTTTCCAACAAAGATGTGCAGCAAACTCTCCATCCACCCCCTCGCCCTTGCGTGGCCAGGGCAGCAGAGCCACTGCCGCCCCTCTGTGGTGCCTGGGCTGAGGGAGCTTCTCCTCTGCAGCAGGAACATGTTGTGGGGACATCTTGCAGCTGTGTTAGAAATACTCCTGCAAGCCACACATGAGAACTTTTTGCCTCCTCTGCACCCTGTGCAAGTGCACATCCACGAACACACAAGTATCTTGTTACACTGATAAATACAAGGCAACCTCTCCTGGATATTTAAATGGCTGGAAGCCCATTTAATTGTTTCTAAAACTCCAAAGGAGATTGCTGCATTTTGATATGGACCACAAAAAAAGGTGGGGATCCCTACTAACTTCAGTAGGGTTTGGCTCTGGTTTACACAGCAACACTGCATGGGATCCAAAACCAGACCAAATACTGGTGTCTCCCCCCAAGGTATAGCTTATACTGATGTCACCAGCTAAAAATTAGTTAACTTGATATGGCTGGACCAGTAAAGTCACACAGGACACACATGGATAGCCAAATACAGCTCATCACCAATTTTTCCCTGCAAAAACACCGTTTTGCAAAGTCCCATGACATGGAGCAGTTTATTCAGCACAGGCTGTGGGACTGAGAGGCAGGGAGACACAGCCACCTCTCCAGCTCCATCCTGTGGGCCATTCCACATTTGTGGGGATGCACCATACCCATTTCCTGGGGATCCCAATGGAACAGAAGTTACAAACCCTCTCCCTTCAGCACCCAGTGCCCAGCTGGGCAGAGCTGCATCCTGGCTGAGGAGACAGTTTTGCAAAGCAACCACAGCCCTGAATAAATAAATAAAACCCAACCTTTGCACTTATGACACTTCTGTCAGTAGGGCAGAGAGTTTATCAGCTCCTCCGTATCAGGCTTATTGATAGTACACAGGACAAAGCCAGCAAAAAAAAAAAGGAAAGGAGTGTGCTGTGTGCTCCTGTGATGTAACAACAATGCAAACACCAAGCACTGCTGGGTTGGATTTATGTAAACCCCCCATGGGTGGATGCAAAGGCACCACATCCACTCATAACCACTCAGGAGTAACCTCCAGACTCAGCACCAGTGGCTCAATTGTACAAGATATGCAGATCCTTCAGGAATGCTTCATCCTGGAGCATTACTCTCTTTTACACCCTCAAAGGGTCTCATTCAGCTACAGCCCCAGCCTCACGGCAACCCTCAGCTTTCACACACACACACCATTTTCCATCCACACTCAAAAC